GGAGCTGAAGTCTAGAATTCTGGGAATTGAAGTGAGGATTTCTGGGAGTTGAAGTCCCCCACCCCCCCCCTGCTAAAACTTGCCAAGCTAACATTGCTCAGAATGGACAGGTAAAACTCCACCTAGAAGACACAGTGAGGGGATTCTTCTCATGTGGCTGTGACCCACCCCTCAAATAGCCCCCCCCCAGTGGGAAAGCCCCCATGCCCATTCAGCTTCTCTTCCTGCCCAAGTGAGGCTGGCATGCAGTTCACACACCGCTGTGCTCCCCGCTGGGGGCAAGGCCCACGGGCACAAGCAAGCGAGTGCACGGCACACCGGCAAGGCCCACGCACCCTCCTGGGTCCGGGCGATGCTGCCAAAGGAGCCAAGGCTCTCGCGGCCGAGGAACTCGCCGAAGACGTTGTGGAAGGGGTCCCCGCCCACTTGCGTGGACTCTTCCACCCGCACCTCGCGCTTGGTCTCCCCGCCGCGGGTCTTGCTGATCTCCGTCCGCTCGGTGCGTGTGTAGGTGTGGCTGCTGCGCGTGAAAGTGCGGGTCAGGCGCTCCTGAGCTGAGACCATCTGGAACCAATTCCCTGCGCCAGCAGCCATGAGGGGGAAGGAGGAGGCGGGGAGGGAGAGAAGAAGGAAGAGGAGAAGGAAGAAGAAAGGAGGAAGAGGATGGAGGAAAGGGAAGGGGGAGGAAGGAGAGGAAGAGGAAGGAGAAGGAAGAGGAAGAAGAAAGAGGAAGAGGAGGAAGGAAGGAGGGGAGGGAAAGAGGATGAGAAAGAGAAAGAAAGAAAAGGAGGAGGGGGAGGAAGTAGGAGAAGAAGGAGGAAGAAGGAGGAGGGGAGGATGAGAGAGGGAAAGGAGGAGGTAGAAAAAAGAGCAAGGAAAAGAGGAGGAAGGGGGAGGAGGAAGAAGGAAAGAGGAGGAAGAGGAAGGAGGGGGAGGAGAACGGAGAAAGGAAGAGGAGGCAGAAGCAATGAGGAGGAAGAGGAAGGAGGAAGTGGAGGAGGAAGGAGAAAAGGAAGAGGAGGAAAAAGGAGGAGGAAGAGGTGGAAGAAGGAAAAAGGGAAGAAGTGGAGGAAGTGGAGGAGGAAGAGGAAGGAGGAGGAGGAGGAGGATGAAGCCAGTTAGAAAATGGGACATAGAGATGGGGGCTGCACATAACTTTTGAGTGGGCCACCTTGGACCGCCCGGCCTGTAAAGGATTTCCTCCAGGCTGGAGAACCCCAATATCCAGCCAGCCTCTCTTGACTTAAGGGCAACCTCTGGAGCCCCCTCCATTTCCAGTAGTCCCCTTACCTGGGATCTTGAGGTTCAGGTCGCAGGTGCTGCCCACAGTGGCGATAGAAGGCGCCTGGCGCCGGCGCGTGATGCTCTCTTTCATCCGTCCCTCTCCAGTCACCTTCACAGTGAAGGGGCTTCCTGAAAGGGTCAGCGAGGCTAGTGGTTATCTCAACAGCCTGGCACATCCATCCCAGCTGGCCCCTGCAGGACATCTGCAGCCTGGGGGGTTCTGGAAGTCCACACCTCTTCCCCAGGTGGGAGAAACACCAGCCTAATTCTCACCCAGCACTCAACTTGAGAGCTAGAAACTTGAAATTCGCCCACAGGTTGGAGGAGAAAGCCTGCTGTGGTTCGCCGGCAGCCTGTGCAGATGGCGCCGGAATCGGACAGTGGGGAAGAACGAGGACCAGTCCGGGAGTCTCGGACGGGAGGACTCGGACGAGGGTCCGGTGTCCAATATACAGATGGGGCCGGGACTATCTGGGAGTTGGGTGCTGATTCTGAAGCTTCCAGAATCTGACAGCAGTGAGGAAGAGGAATAAAGGGAGCCTGTTCCCAGTGTGCGTGTGCACAGAGCTGCCTGAATGAAAGAGCAACTAAGACAAAAAGGGCAATTCGGTAATAAGGCTCGGAGGTGATTTCCCCCTCCCATAAGGTATAAAGAACAGGCAAAGGTGAAGAAACCTTTGCAGGAAGCAAAGTCATTCACTCTGTTCGAATTAAACCTTGAAGCTCTGTGTGGAAATTGTACTTCGGTTGGGTTTTTTTTTTTTAAAGTTAATTTAACATTTCAGTTGTTGGCAGCAATTCAAAGGAGAGAAAGGTGGGTGCTTATCTCGAGGGATTGTTTGGGACTCATTATGGGCTGGGAATGAACGTAATTCCCAGTGTTGAACTGAAACAAGAGTTGTTTGAACTAAGCGCGTGCTTAATTACGGTCTCAGGAAGTCAGGGACAGACGAAGAGATATACCTGGCACGTGTTTATCGGCAAATTTAATGTTGATGATGTAATTTCCGGGCTCGGTCGGCGAGTAGGTGACTTTGCAGGTGCCATCTTCCATGTCTTCACAATTGATGTCCACTTTGCTGGGACCTTCGATGGAGAGGCCGAGACCCCCGTAGCCTGGAACCAAGAAATCGGTTTATTCTCCTGGCAAGCTTTGAATATCAGCTGTGGCAGAATTTGGGGTGGGAGTGAAACGAGGAATCTGCCTAACATCCCTACGTAGTCACAAGCAAATTAAGTCCTACTTCCCTTGAATTCCATGGAGCCTTAACTAACTCCTAGCAGGTACCGACTGTTGGTTGAGAAGAACAAAATACAGATAGTCCTCGGTTTACAACAATTCATTTAGTGACCATTTGAAGTTACAAAGGCACTAAAAAAAAGTGACACAACTATTTTCAACACTTGCAACCACTGCGGCATCCCCGTGGTTGATCCAAATTCGGACCCTTGGTAACTGACTCATCTTTACAACAAGTTGCCACGTCCCCGGAATTCATGTGATCCTCTTTTGAATCCTTCTGACTAGCAAAATCCATTGGAGGAAGCTGGATTCACTTAATGGCTGTCTTACTAACTCTGCCACTGCAGTGATTCGCTTAACTTCGGTGACAAGAAATTTGTAACACGGGGCAAAATTCAGTGGTCTCGCTGAGAAAGTTTGGGTCCATTTTCCTAGCTTTGAAGGACCAGTTGTTGCTGCCAAGTTATATAGTCGGTGAAAGATGTTTGGCAGTCCTACAATACCTGTGTTTCCCTGAAAATAAGGCCCTGTCTAATGGTGAGGTTTTTTTGCCACCACAAAAGGCACCAGGTCTTACTTTCGGGGGAAGTCCTCCACTGACTAACCTCACTTGCATGTGTCGCCCCCGGCCTCCTTTTCGCAGTCAGAGGCCTTCAGGAACTACTACTTCTGCGGCCGGCAAGGCTTTCCTGAAGGCCTCTGCAGCCTTCAGGATCGATCCAGAGCTTTGTTCTCAGCTCCAGAGGCCTTCAGGGAAGCCTGTCCAGCCTTGCCAGCTGCAGAAGAAATGGGCCGGCCAGGCAGGTGTTGGGGTGTGCGAGGCCTGGCTACACCTGTCCAAAGGTAAGCAGTAGGGCAGCTCCACCCCCCCAATCCCCCACCCTACCTTAATTTTTACCCATCCACTCTGGAGTGGGCAGGATTTTAATTAGGGCTTATTTGGGGGGTAGGGCTTATATGGGGCGCACATGTAAAAATCAAGCTAGGGCTTACTTTCAGGGTAGGTCGTATTTTCGGGGAAACAGGGTATTTTGTCACAACCTCCCTTTCCTCACCTGCAGTCCGGGTGTCGACGATGAATTCGGACATCTCGAAGGTGCGTCCTTCCATCAGCCCCTTACCGGACACTTTCACCTTGCTGGCGTCACCAATTTCCGACTGTCCCACCATGATCTTAAAGGGGCTGTTGGTGACGTGTTTGCCACTTTTCTTGACGCTTACCGTGTGTTCCCCAACCTCCTTGGGGGTGAAGGAGATCCCTGGGGGTGAAGGAGACAGAGGGGGGGAAAATGAAGGTGGGGCAGGATGATGTGAAGGGGGCCTGGGGGTCAGCTGGCAGCCCCCCGGATAGGTTTCACCAAAGCCAGGAGCTCTTTCATCAAACCACACAGACTGCCAGGGAAGGGAACTCCCAGAGAATTCTGGGAAATGAGGCACGCACAAATTCCCACCACGGAAGAACAGAGTGTGAAAGTGCTGCAAGAGGAGGTGACAAAATTAATTGTCCTAAGGAAAGAGGAGAATTTATCTCGCTTTCTCTCTTTGGGGTGGAACATCTAGAAACAGGGGTGTCGAAGTGGTGGCCTGCGGGCTGGGTGCATCATGCGCAAATCGTGTCCACCACCCCAGCTCTGCCAAGGGAAAAAAAAAATCACGATACATCGTGTGATGATGTGACACAGCGAGTTTAACCTCCGTGCTCTAGAACACGGAACTCACCGTTCCAAAGAGATGATCTAAAAGCGAAAAAGCGGGAACAAAAAACTCCTCGCCAGCAAACAAGGCCCAGGTGAGCCGAGGGTAACACCAAGATTAATGTTAACAAGGTTAACATGTTAACAAGGTTAACAATCAAGCAGTCAGCAATACCTCGGTCAAGGAACTACCAACCCAGAGAATTAATCAAACAGTAAAATTATCAAAGAGCTATCAAGAACGCTCCCACCAACATTACTAGGACAAGCCACTCCCTTCTTGCACTGATAATGTCACCTAGTTGGGTCATGAAACGTCTGCAAGAAAACAATCAAGCTCAGAGAGCACCCAGGACCCCACTGTCCTCCTCCTCCTCCCCTTTCTGTTCCTCTCCTTTTCCTCCTTTTTCTCCTTCCCCTCCTCCTCCTCCTCTTCTCCACAAACCCCACTTCCTTCTAGCATGGATGATGTTACCTAGTTCGGTTATGAAATGTCCATAAGAAAATCACCAACCTCGGAGAGCACCAAGGACCCCACAGTCCTCCTCCTCTCCTCTCCTCCTCCTCAGGTCTTTCTGCTCCTCTCCTTTTCCTTCTCTTTCTCCTTCCCCTCATCCTTCCCCTCCCCCTCCTCTCCTCCTCCCCTTCCTGCTCCTCTCCTTTTCCATCTCTTTCTCCTTCTCCTCCACTCCGCAAACCCTACTCCCTCTAGCATTGACGACGTTCCCTAGTGTGGCAATGAAAGGTCTGCAAGAAAACTACCCAGTTCAGAGACCACCAAGCTCCCCAACACTTCAACTCGGAGGTACCATTATTCTCCCCTATGACTACTCTCTTTTTAGGTAGACTTGATCTGACTGCAAAACTCCAAACGTCCACTAGGAGCAGCAAAGAGCCGGTGGTTGCTTCTTTTCCTGTCTCTCCGATGCTCTTCCGGCTGCCTTCCCGATTTTCACAGCTTGCAAAACCCTCAGTCCTCTGCAACTTCAGTCGTGTGTCCGTGTGGAAAAAAGGACTCACCAATATGGCGGTTGGGCAGGCGCTTAAGCAAACAGGGCTCTTCGTTCCCAGATGGGGCCCGGATGCTGGCGGTCAGGAGGCTCAGGTCGCTCTCAGTGATCTTCAGTGACACGTCGGTGGAAGTGCCCACGTTCAGCTGGGAGGTGCGCATGGAATCGTCCCCTGGGCCAGGAAGAATGGCGAGAGAGAAGCCGTCAGGGTTAGGGTTCAAGACTTCTCTAAAGTATTGGAAGGACTGCCTTTTCCGGGTCAGAATCCCAGAGTTGGAAAGAGCTTTACAGATTAACAGAGTTGGAAGGGACCTTAGAGGTCATCTAGTCCAACCATCCCCCCACCCAAGGAGGAAACCCTACGCCATTCCTGACAAATGGCTGTCCGGTTTCTTCTTAAAAGCTTAGAATGGAATGGAATGGAATGGAATAGAATAGAATAAGAAAGAACAGGATAGAATAGAATGGAATGGAATGGAATGGAATGGAATGGAATGGAATGGAATAGAATAGAATAGAATAGAATAGAATAGAATAGAATAGAATAGA